GGTAAGTGCCACTTTGGGGGATGTTTGCAATTGAGGTCCAAATCCTCAGCAAAGTTTCTATTGACGATAGTAAGGCATACTGCATATATAAAAACCCAAAATGTCAATGCTGATGTCAAACTTGTCATCGTCCCCTGTCAAAGTGCAGTGGATGTCTAAGGTCTAGTCTAGTGATTCAAATGCTACATCTGATCAGAATAAAGAAGAAGAAAAAGTAGGCAGAGGCCTTAGACACAGTAATGAATAATAGAGTTTTAATGCCCTGTATACAGTAGCACTTTAAGGCTATTAAAAGTATTTCAAACCCTGGCTACCAGTAGCGATGGAAGGACCTCCACCCGTTCTCTCCGTTTCTCATTTATCCAATCTTAAATTTAGTTATTCACACTTCTACATCAATGTGAAAATTTCTTTTTTAAATCCTCCTGAAATTTCTCCAGCATTTTAGTGTGAATTTCTGTTTGTACAGTTTTGACTAATACACATGGTTTTGCAAGCAATTTCTCTAAATATAATGCATTTTTGCTTGCTATTTTCACACACACATTTCACTCCTTCCCCTAATATGTGCATTTTTTGTGAACAATGGTTGGTTGGCGAGCAGCAAATTTCAGATAAGTGAAAATTTTGAAGGATGGCTGCATTTCGGTTCTCATATAGTGTCAGAAAGTGTGAATCTGATAAATCCAGCTTTAAGTGTGAACCAAATCAGTTTTCTCCTGCATCCTCCATCACCCGCAACTCCCATCAACCCTGGCCATTAGTGTGTGGCCAGGGCTGATGGGAGTTGGAGCCCAGCAACATCTGGAAGGTTGGCTGCCACTGGACTAGAGAGACCTGGGTTCAAATTCTGACTCAGCCATAAAACTAACATACAGGGTGACCCAGAGCCAGCAACTATCTTTCCGCCTAGTCTAGCTCATAGGTTTGTTGTTTAGATAAAAGCAGGGACTATTTATGTTGCTCTGACCTTGGAAGAGGGGCAGATTAAAAATGCAATCAATAAATGCAAAATGCTCTGCTGAAGATCGTTGCTTTTTCCCCCCAGCAGGTGTTCTCAGACTACCCCAGTGAGCTCTAAGATGAGAAACATTTGTTCCGTCCTCTCCAGTTGCACAAACACAAACACTTTGATTGCCAGAACTTTCAACGGTGAGCCCAGGAAGGGACCTGCCAAGGCAAATGCATCTGGATTGTAACCACATGGGCTCACGGAGCGCTTACAGCTCAGGGGCTCTTAGGTAGGAGTATTGGCATAGTAATGAACCTGTTTTCCAAAAAGAAAGCCGTGAAGCTAGCTGGGGGCAAGCTCCATTGAAGTCAATGGGACTTGCTTCTGAGCAGACTGTAAGAGATTAGCCCAGTGGACCACAGCATTATTGGTCCGGGTAAGCAGAATAGGAAAGTGTGGGGAGGGGAAAAGGGGGCAGATTACTGAGCAATTTCCAGTGTAAGTATGACTGTTGAACGTAAGCTTTGCAATTCCTGCTGCACAATCAGTGTATCAGTCTCATCTCCCTAATGTGTATTCTGCTTGTGAAGGACAGAAAAGAGATATGACTCATGGCAGGAGGAGATGCACAAAGAAAGGTCACTGTACGTCTAGATAATTTACAAAGAAGATATGAGTCTGCTCTGATACATGCAAACAATTTCACCAACTTTATCCGGATAAACACAAGGCACCAGGGTGATTGCAGACAGGACTGAATCACATGCATTGCTTGCCCAATCCACTGTTTGTTTGTTTGTTTGTTTGTTTGTTTGTTTGTTTGTTTGTTTGTTTGTTTGTTTGTTTGTTTAGGGAGTGATGCCCCACCCCTCAGAGAACTTCCCAGGATAGCTTACAAAAATCTCTTAACAGAATAAAATAAATGAAAACATACGGAAATGTACAAAAGCCACAGTGTACAAGCCAAGATAAAATGAATCAGTTTGCATTGAAAAGCTTGAGAAAGTGAAAAATGAAGTATTTTCCTGGTGGTGAAATGACAGGCAGTCAGGTTCTGTATCCACAGCAGTGACCAGAGGAGGAATGACCGCTGGGAGGAGTGCAGAGAAAAGAAACGCCATGGTGCATCTGCAGCAGCACAACCGGACACCTTCATCTGCCCCAGCTGCAACAAAACATGTCTCTCCTCTACAGCCACAGCAGGTGCTGCAACCTTCCAACAGTTTACCTCTACCCCCATAGACACATCCAACAACAAACTTTCCTAGGGAGAGCATTCCACAACCAGGGTGCCACCACTGAGAAGGTCACCTTCTTCCCATGATGGAGGACTGAGTATGCTCACTTCTTCCTCTGTACACATAGCATATGGGGTATGGGCACTCAAATATCATACTAAAGAGGTGACATTCCAGACTATATCTGTATTGGGGTTGTGGAGGGAGATTATGGGTGCTTTTATTGTTAAATCGTGTCAGGATGTTTTAGGGGAAATAACTCATAAATAAATGGTGTGCGTGTTTTTTAAAGGAATGCACACACCTCTACCTCCAGCATGAAAGGTTTCCAGAGGGGTAGCCCCACAAGTCTCTTGCAGCAAAAACAACAGAGGCGGTCTACTTGATCCAGCTGTGCACTTTTTATGTTCTATTGTGCATCTGGTGAGATGTTAAACCAAGGTGACATCCACACAAGACATTTAAAGAACATTACTTCCCTCTCAAGGAATCTCAGGAACTGTAGTTTGTTAAGGCCACTGGATATCGTAGCTCTGCAAGGGATAAACTGCAGCTCCCAAAATTATTGGGGGTGAGCCATGCGCTTTAAGTGTCTGGTGTGTAACTAGCCAAACAATCTTGTCTCACCTTCAAAGCTAGCACTATGTTTATAGCATAAGCCACCACTAACTACACCCCTCTTCCTGCAAGGCATCGGGTAGGGTCCTCCTTTGTCAGGCAGATGGGCAGAAATTGTGTGGCAGGCAGAAATTCAACTGATTAAGCCTTTTCTGGCATGGAAATACAGTGATGGAAAACTCTTCACCTGTTGATATTTTGTCTGTCAGACATCTTATGGCACATGTGCAGTCCCCAATCTATTTTGGGATCTTACATCCCACCTGTAAAAAAAGAACACAAATGCACACATGACCTGAAGTGTATGCAAATTTAATGCAAATTTATACCCTCTTTTGCAACTGAGGCAGAGAAACTAATCCATATGCTAGGTCCAGAAAATCCTGCTGAACCCCCCTGCTCCTCTCATTTTGGAGAGGGGGGGACCTTGACTTTCACCCCAAAATCCTGCCCTAGCAACACTGCTGATCCTGGTCCATGACACTTTTCTGCTAAAATTACTCTCTTCTGCCTGGTTTTTTTTTTTGGGGGGGGGGTATGACAGCTGTCCCTCCAAAATAAAGGTTATGCACTCATGTTTAAACAGGTTTGCCCCTCATTTATACCACTTGTCAACAATATTCATCCTGTTACAGCAAGAAAGGCCACAGAACTATAATCAAATTCTAGGCAACAAAATATTGCCACTAATGATCTGTGTAAGCCGACTCTGTGAAAATGCCTTATTAATGTGAAAAGCAGTCAGCAATTTTCACCATTAACATACCAATGAGCCTGGAGACTTGGTTTCTCAAGGAAGGGACATAGGACTAGATGGTGGGCATGGCCCAACAAGTTCTGCTGAATCAAGGAACAGAGTAGTTTAGCCTTCTCCCCCAACCTGGTACTGTACAGATGTTGAACTACAACTCCCATCAACCCTGATCATTGGTCATGCTACTGGGTCTGATGGGAATTGGAGTCCAAAACATCTGAATGGTGTCAAGCAGAGGAAAGGTGGTCTAGTCCAACCTTTGTCAACCTGGCACCCTCCAGATGTTTGGGAGAACAGCTCCCATCATGCTGGCTGTGGTTGATTGGAGATGTAATTGTGATGATGATGATGATGATGATGATGGAGCAGTTGAATCTCACTTTTCAGCCAAAACGGTGCCCAGAGTGATCATTAGGTCCAGTCGTGGCCGACTCTGGGGTTGCAGTGCTCATCTCGCTTTATTGGCCGAGGGAGCCGGCGTACAGCTTCCAGGTCATGTGGCCAGCATGACTAAGCTGCTTCTGGTGAACCAGAGCAGTGCACAGAAATGCCGTTTACCTTACCTTACCTTTATCTACTTGCACTTTGATGTGCTTTTGAACTGCTAGGTTGGCAGGAGCAGGGACCGAGCAACGGGAGCTCACCCCATCGCAGGATTTGAACCCCAACCTTTTGATCAGCAAGTCCTAGGCTCTGTGGTTTACATATCACCAATTAAAGCAAGACAGTTCCTGCCCACAGGCTTACAAGCTAAAACAAATGACACACATGGGGAAAGGGGCAGGAAGCGAAGAGTGGGAGGGAATAAGAACTCAAACACCAACTCTTAAGCAGGCAGAGTTCAGAGTGCCTGATGGAGCTGGTGAGCACTGCTTCCCATATCTCCCGCTAAGGGAGAGATGTGGTGGCATTTTCTATGGAATGTTTTTGTAATCCAAAGCATCGTGAGGGCACCAGATAGGCAATGACTGGTCTAATGCGACACCCTTGCAACAGTGATCAGACAGGTATCTCTGAGAAGCTGAAACCTTCCCAGTCTCAAAAACATCTGTGATTGGCATAGGCTGCCTCTGAACCTGGAGGTCAGACACTTTCCCCGCTAGATATGCAGCATCACCACCTCACCCTCAGACACCTGAACATCTGGCTGAACATCTGGTGGTAGTGTGATGGCTTACACACACACAGAGAGAGAGAGAAGTGAATAGGAAAGGTGGCCAGCCGGTGTCCCGAGTGTGCGGACTACCTCTGAATGCGCAAGGATTGTGAGAACAGCGAGCTCACTGGAGAGGGAGGGAGAACCATGAGGCGTTGTGAACCAGCTGCCAATCCGTTTCGGCAAGGGTCCATTTCTGAAAACGGAACGAGACGCTCGCGGATCTCCCTGCTAAGACGGGAAAGCATTGCAAAGCAGGCAATTTCTGGACACGGAAGCGTAACTCGCTGGCTCTGGGGCGTCAGCGCGATGGGCCCGATCGCCACTGAGGGCAAGAGAGCTTCATCCTGTGATGAAAGCATTGCTCACGACAGATACTCTTATCTATACAGAAGGAGGCTGGCATCTGTGACAGAGCTGTGTGTAGGTGGGGGAGAGGAAAGGCACCCCCTCCCCACACTCAGGCAGGAATCGGTTCCCCTCGCACACGTACGGACTGGCTGCCTTGCCTGCCCGCGCCCTATTTTTCCCCACCATCGATGCCCGCAGGCGACGGGTCCTCTGTCGGTCAGCTCGCCAACACAACACGCCCATTCCCTGCCTGCGCGCAGATCGAGTGAGCGCCCGTCAGATAGTGTCGCCTCGTTGCTAGCGGTGCCAATCGCAGCCCCGTCCCTTCCCGTGGCCCAGGAGCACGATGTCTTTGCGAACTTCGACCTTTAGAGCAAAAAAGGTGTGGGGGGGATGTTGACTGTAGGTATTGTGGATTATGATTATGATGACTATTAGCAATCTGCACGGGGATGTGGGGTTAGGGGAGACAGGTGGGTAGGTGGGTGGTGGCTGCAGTCGCTCTAGAGCGATCGGTCCCATTCAGTCCCAAGACACAGAGCCAGGCTAGTTTTTGTGCACGCGGAGCCCCTGCAAAACCTGACTTCCCTAAGGAAAGGTGTACATGGAGCGCACCGCTCTGTGGATCCCCTCCTCAGGTACCTCTCAGCTGCAGCCCGACAGGAGGAAGAAGCAGGCGGCGCCCACCTTGGGTCTGGGTGCGGGGAGGCGTTCAATCCTCAGGCATGGCTTGCCTGGAAAGTGTGGGGGGATGCCGGTGGTCGCCATGACTGCTGCTGCTGCAGCAGCTGCTGCCGCCGCCGCCGCCGCCTTCAACTGAGTCGGGAGGCGCGGCTGGAGAGGAGCTGTCCATTCAGCACCACGGCGCCGCGGCTTCGCTCTTGGTAGTAGCTCAACTCTCGGGCGTTGTAGGCGCTCCAGGATGTGAGCAACGCCCGCTGACACCTTCTCCGGGAAAGGGGCTGTCTGCCTACTTCCATCACACAAAAGGTTAGGCGGCGGATCGGTTCCTGGAGCCAAGACATCTTCAGCCTGGATGAAGGACCCCGCCCCAGCGATGCTCGAGTGGTGCTGGGGGAAGTTTCACGCTCCCAAACGGGGTCGCAGCAGCAACAGCAGCTCTTGAGGTAAACGGGGGTATGAGTATTTAAACGGCGGGGGTTCCTATTTTGGTCGAACCTGGGGAGTTGGCCGTCGGAAACCACTGTCTCTCCTCGCCCTTTGTTATGATGGAGAGCGAGAAAGACCCGCACGCTTACTGAGAGGTATCTGGGAGGTAAAGCGAAGGCAGCAAGAGAGGCTTGCCTTCACTCCACTCGCCAGCGCTACAGACTTTGGGGGAAGACGCCTGCTAGTCTGTCACCTGGAGCTGTTTTGGCTGCCCATCCAACCATTAAAATCCATGCCCTATTTCCAGCAGCTCCACTCTTGCTAAAGGAGGGGCTGTGGCAGTCAAGGGCTATGCATGGTATTGTGCCAGTTACAGCACTGCCAGAGGATGTGCACGGAAAGAAAAAGAGGGGAAAGGGCCAAGGAAGCACAGGGTGTCCATTTGTGGATTTAGCACACATTAAGCGATCCCCTCATCTGTAGTGGAGAACAAAAGCTACACCTTAAAGAACGGATCCTCTTTATGGTAATCTGTTAATATGTGTGGGGTGCTTTGGGTGTAAGACTATTTTTTGACCCAAATTAAACACAAAAGAGTGGGGGTAGGGAGAATTAAGAATCCCCTCACTACTGGATAACACTGAATGCCTCCTTTAATTATTCCATAGGTCTTCTCTCCCTGCCCCATATAGATTTGGAAGACACTCACTATGACAGGGCTGAGTCTGAGGGATTTATCAGAGGCTGATTTTGAAGACAGTGAAATCAGCATCAATGTCGGAGGCTTTAAGAAAAAGATGAGATCCAACACATTGTTGAGATTCCCTGAAACGAGGCTGGGTAAACTGCTGAGCTGCAATTCAAAGGAGTCAATTCTAGAGCTTTGTGATGATTACGACGACACTAAGAACGAGTTCTACTTTGACAGGAACCCTGAACTTTTCCCTTATGTGTTGCATTTTTATAACACTGGAAAGCTGCACGTGATGGGTGAGCTCTGCGTGTTTTCCTTCAGTCAGGAAATTGAATATTGGGGAATCAATGAATTCTTTATTGATTCTTGCTGCAGTTACAGCTACCATGGGAGGAAAATGGAACCAGACCAAGAAAAATGGGAAGATCACAGTGATCAGGAAAGTACCACCTCTTCCTTTGATGAGATCTTGGCCTTCTACAATGATGCTGCTAAGTTTGACAAGCAACCCTTTGGGAAAGTCAGGCGGCAGCTGTGGTTAGCTTTAGACAACCCTGGCTACTCTGTCTTGAGCCGAATATTCAGTATCCTCTCCATCGTGGTTGTTCTTGGATCCATAGTAACCATGTGCCTCAACAGCCTCTCAGACTTTCAGATTGTTAGTAGCAATGGGAACTCTGAGGAAGACCCTCGATTTGAAATTGTGGAACATTTTGGTATTGCGTGGTTCACTTTTGAGCTGGTGGCAAGGTTTGCCGTGGCCCCAGACTTCTTGAAGTTTTTTAAGCATGCACTCAATCTAATTGACCTAATGTCCATCCTTCCATTTTACATCACTTTAATTGTTAACTTGGTGGTGGAAAGTAGCCCTGCTTTAGCTAATTTGGGTAGAGTAGCCCAAGTCCTGAGACTGATGAGGATATTCCGTATCTTAAAACTTGCACGGCACTCAACAGGCCTTAGATCTCTTGGAGCCACCCTCAAGTATAGTTACAAGGAGGTAGGGCTTCTCCTGCTGTACCTGTCTGTTGGAATCTCTATATTCTCTGTAGTGGCTTACACAATTGAAAAAGAGGAAAACAGGGCCCTGGAGACCATCCCTGCTTGCTGGTGGTGGGCTACAGTTAGCATGACCACAGTTGGTTATGGAGATGTTGTCCCAGTAACCACGGCAGGCAGGCTGACAGCTTCTGCATGCATCCTAGCTGGCATCTTGGTAGTGGTCCTCCCTATCACACTCATCTTCAACAAGTTCTCCCACTTTTACAGGCGCCAAAAGCAGCTAGAAAGTGCCATGAGGAGCTGTGATTTTGGGGATGGGATGAAAGTTGTCCCTTCAGTCAACTTAAGGGACTACTATGCCTACAAAGTTAAATCTCTTATGGCCAGTCTCACAAACATGAGCAGGAGCACCCCAAGTGAACTAAGTCTGAATGATTCACTGCATTAGTCTCTGGTTCTAAGACCAGTTTGCATGATGGAAAACCAAGAGCTGTATTTATGTGTGTTGTTTTTCCTCACCCCGGCATCTAATATCATCAATTAAGCACCATGGGCAGGTCCACATAACCATTCTTCCTCCACCACCATCCTTTTTTTGGCAGTAATCTCTCAGTAGCAATTCATATGCACTTGAGTCTTGTGAATGGTTCATCGTACATTCGGATTTAGAGACAACATGCATTTTGAAGTTTGTTCAGCTTGCGCTAGCTTGCAATTGGAAGTGTGTTCCATCACAAAGCCATGGTGCACATAAGTACCATCACATGCAAAGGGCCACCTAATGGGGAAAATGGTTGTGGGAATGAACTTACTTTGGCAATTGTGAAGAATATAAAGTTTACTTACAGAACGATACGTGGTGCATTTTCGTCTAGCTGCATAGAAACAGCCTCCTGGTTTTTCTATGCAGCTGTATTTGTCTCCATGACGTGTAGTGCTGGTGATGTTGAGCTTCTTTGTCACATGCATATTTTGCTTTGGAAGTCCTTGTGAGAGAACCGAAAAGAATATTTCCAGGAAGACTACAGAAACAAACCACCTGCAAAGCTGGAAATGTGGCTATCCCAGTTCCATGCACGCTTGTGGTACAGTAAAAAGGCCACACAGTTAAATCACTCCTTTGTTTAAAACCATTATAAAGCAGCTATAACACCCAGATTGCATTTCCAAAACCACTTGCCGCTATCATACTTTACTAGTTAATTGAGAATTCACTTGGGGAATCACTGCCCGTTTATGAGAAGCAAAGCTGTTGTAACCATAATTGTGCAGCTTCAATTGAGTTTGATTATTCTGAAGAAATGGGAAGCAATTGTCAGCAACCCCTACCCTAAAGTGTGATAGAATATTGGGAGAGAGTGACAGAATGTTGGGGATCGATCGATAAATAGACAGACAGAATGATTTCCAAGACCATCCAGTAAGTGTATATTTTTATTTCTTCTGGGTGTCATTGATAAGACTCTCGTTCACAGGAACTGATCTGTGATGACAGACTTCAAAAAGTTATCTCCCATCAGCTCCTGGTCCTGAAACATGCATTAGGCCACCCTCTCAAAAAGAGCCTTAAAAAAGAAAGAAAATACCCACTTTTGTGCTGAAGGAAATATTTAAGGCCTAATCTTCCTAGACATCAGAAACTGATACCAACTCTTAACTTCAGTATAATCTTTCATGCTCAGAATTTACATCACACACACACACACACACACAAACACACACACACACACACACACACACACACAATGCCTGAGCTAAGGGATCAACATTAGAAGATATTCTTACAGCTGACTAGTAAAAAGAAATACACCGAATCCAGTGGTAAAGGCAGCAATGTAATATGCAAGCTGACAACTTGAATGGCTTTAAAATAGATTAGACAAATTCATGGAGGATAATGTTATCAGTGGCTACTAGCTATACTCTGCCTCCACAGAGTATTGTGGACACAATTCTCTGCTTTCACAGTGGGAGGCATATACTTCTGAATGCCAGTTCCTAGAAACCACAGAAGCAGAGAGTGCTCTTGAACTTCGGTCCTGCTTGCTGGTTTCCCACAGGTGTTTGGTGGTCAAGCATTGTGAGAGCAGGATGCTGGACTAGACGGGCAATTGGCCTGATTCAGCAGGCTTTTCTTATGCTCTTTGTTTCTGAGAGGGAGCCACAGGTTCCAATGAGAAGGATGGAGAGGACACATTATATTTTAACATTTGAATGGGAGGCCATTTCCTAACGTGACCTGAATTCACGTTCAAAAGAGGCTTAAAAAAGGTAAAGGTACCATTAGGTCCAGTCGTGACCGACTCTGGGGTTGCGGCGCTCATCTCGCTTTATTGGCCGAGGGAGCCAGCGTTTGTCCGCAGACAGCTTCCGGGTCATGTGGCCACTATGACTAACCAGAGCAGCACACAGAAACGCCGTTTACCTTCCTGCTGGAGCGGTCCCTATTTATCTACTTGCACTTTGAGGTGCTTTTGAACTGCTAGGTTGGCAGGGGCTGGGACCAAGCAACGGGAGCTCACCCCGACACGGGGATTCGAACTGCCAACCTTCTGATCGGCAAGTCCCAGGCTCTGTGGTTTAACCCACAGCGCCACCCGCGTCCCTTCAAGAGGCTTACTATGAAACAAATAAACCATACCCATAAAGAAAGCACAGTTCTATACGTCTCTACTCATATGTAACACCCACTGAGTTCAATGGGGCTTGTTTCCAGGTAAGTGGTTATAGGACTGTAGCCTCAAACAATTATCTCAAGCAAGGGTTCCCAAACTGTTGTCTATGGACCACCACTGGTCCACAAAGTTCATTCGGGTGATCCACAGTAAAAAGACAATAAAAAAATCACACAGCATCTAACACAGAACATTACAATTGCTACAACTGGCAGAAAAACAATTGACTGGTCGTCCAAGACCCTCAGCATTTTACAAGTGGTCCAGGGGGCAGGGAGGAATTTGGGAAACCACTGATCTAAAAATTCTGGTTGAAGGAACCTAACTGATCTCTTAGGGGAGGCGGTTCCACACTACAGTTTCATAATATATATGTTGGCCAGTCCTACCATTAGACAAAGTGAGTCATGCTCCCAGCCATTTTCCTCTGCTAGAGGAAATGGCATATGCTCCATGGTTTGTCTTGCCACTGCCACCATCCTCTTAGAGGATATGGAGGATGCTATAAGCTTACCAATGATGAAACAAGATTCAAGCGCCTGTCGAGTCAGCTTTTGTACAAGGAAAGGAGAGGGGAAACCATCTTGTCCTTTACCTCAGGCAGCAAAATATTTCGGGCCAGCCCTGCACATACACAAGGCTAAAGAGATGTTGGCACTACGCTTTGAGTCCATGCTTTCACCAACCCAGAAGTTGAAAAATGCTGTGACCTTCTCAGCTGGTGGCCCTCTCTCAGCTTGCGACAGCGTTCAAACCATATTAGATCAGCATTCAACTAGATTGAAAGTTGTTTGCATTGTATCCTGGAGTCTGGGTGGTCTCAGAGAATGTTTAATGCTAAATACTCCAACACCATACATTGCGTGGAAATAAGTCTCACTGATTTCAGCAAGACTTATTTCTACATCATGGACACATCCCCAATCTGGGGGATAAATTCTTCTGCGCTCACACACTTCCAAAACATCCCCCAACTCTGACGTGACTCTTACCAACATGAGTAATTCTGGGTGCTTATCAGGATCCTTGCAGAGCTTTGGATCATGGCGCAAGATTAGGCAGCTTTCCTATTTAAGAACTTGTGTGAAAAGGACTGAGTCACTACTCCTGATTACTCCTATTTCTGAGCAGGTGCAGAAACGTGGTGTGATTTACCCTCCGGTGTGGCAGGACCATAGAGTCTGCCAGTTTACCAAATGGTTTACATGAACATTATGGTAAGGCTACTACTTGTTAAATGATTGTGTGTATTCACGCAAATGAATGGTCCTACTTGTGATTTGTTGGATTTAGTGTTTTGATAGGTAGCACATAGAGAGCTGCCTTGGACCATGTCAAACCACATGCCCTTCCAGCTCAGTATTTGTCTACTCTGACTGGCAGTGGTTCTCCAGGGTCTCAGAGAAAGGTATTTCCATCAGGTGCCACCTGATTCTCTTAAAAATGGAAATTCCAGAGACTGAACCTGGGACTCTCTGCATGCCAATTGTGTGCTCTACCCACTAGGGTAGGATCTCTCCTTATTTATGCCTCTGTATTAAAAGTCAATACGTTCATCAAACCAGAAAGACTTGCATTATTTACAAATTAAATCTTTCTCGAGCCATGTCCTCAGAAGAAAAATGTGAGTGACAGATGTGGGTGAAATAATTGAGGGCGTCGGGAATTATCCTGAGGCAGCTGGAGGTTAAATGAGAAGTTTGTGTTTCTGATTCCCCCCCCCCCAAGAAATCCTAATCCCATTTTACCACGGAATGATTGAATTCAAAGTGTATATAAATAGTACAGCAGGTAGAGTTTTAGTACAGTATATATGGGTTATATACTGACCAAGCCATCCCAGGATATAACCCATATATACTGGGATAGCTTGGTCAGTAGAGTATGAGACTCTTATATTAATAATAATAATAATAATAATAATAATAATAATAATAATATATTTTATTTTTTATTTATACCCCAGCTCCCAACAAAATATTAAAAACATGATAAAACATCAAATATTAAAAACTTTCCTAAACAGGGCTGCCTTTAGATGTCTTCTAAAAGTCAGACAGTTGCTTATTTCCTTGGCATCTGATAGGAAGGCGTTCCACAGGGAGGGCGCCACTACTGAGAAGGCCCTGTGCCTGGTTCCCTGTAGCTTCACTTCTCGCAGTGAGGGAACCGCCAGAAGGCCCTCGGAGCTGGACCTCAGTGTCCAGACTGAACAATGGGGTGGAGATGCTCCTCTTAATCTCAGGGTCATGGGTTTGGGCCCCACATAGGGCAAAAGATTCCTACATTACAGGGGGTTGGGCTAGATGACCCTCAGGGTCCCTTCCAACTCTATAGTTCTATGATTCTAAATGATATGTACTTGGATTATCTGACCTGGGCCTCATCTAGATGTGTGGAAATTGCCAAAATCCTTGTGGCAAAAATAAGGACCACTTACCGGCTTGAACCCAGGAGCGGCAACTGCGATGCGGTTCAGCAGTCAGGAGTCGGGGGTGGTTCCCTAGTCTTCCCGCACGATTGATGGATGATGTCAAATGCATGCCTCATTCCAAAGGCAGCTAAAAAAATTAAAACGCCTTAGATTTTTCCTCACTGCTCTTTTGGCCAATGGCAAGAATTAATTTCTTTGGTATTAAAACAAAAAACTCCCTGGATTCCTAAACCAACTATCCTTTTAACTTCTAGCCCAAAGGAGTTGCAAGTTCCCTCCAGCTCACAGATTCCTCCAGCTTTAGTCAGGAACACAGGGAAGCTGCCATCTGCTGAGTCAGACCATTGCTCCACCTAGTTCTACATTTTTGGAATGGGTTGGCAGAGGCTTCACGGGCATCTGTAGGAATTTTTACGGGGTGCGGGTGTGACAAAAACACTGAAAGTTTCTCCTTTTTAAAAACCCGAGAAGAATAATGGCTGTACATTTTCCTCGTATCTCAGGTTCTACAGGTGCTAGAAACGTCCTCTTCTAAATAAATGAAAGCTTGAACTATTGAGATTATGGTTCATCAAGAAGGGGTATGACAAATGTACCCCCCCCCCTTTGCAGACACCCATAAGTGGCTTTCCAGAGTTTCAGGCAGGATTGACCCTTGGGCACACAGGACACATGCCCTGATGCTGAGATATGACTATTCCCCATTAGTCACATTTGGGGCACATAAATTAGTTTCAGATT